AAACAAATTCTTCCCTTCCGGAGCCCTAACTAGACGCATCCTCGGCTGAAGTAGGTCCTTTTTTTTGGACCAGGAGAAGCTTACCGCATATTCCTTCTTTACCCTAAATCCACTCCACTTTGTCCAATGGCACCCAAAAAGGAACGAGGCAGATACATCGACGCCTGCCAGAGCTCGAAAGACGAAGTTCGTGAAGTGCACGCGGCTCGTTCACGGAAGGGTAAGGCTGCTGACGCGCAAAAGAAGAAACAGCAGCGGACGGATAAAGATGTGGACGATGAGACTCCGGTTAAATGCAACACAAGGATCAGCGCACCTCCCGAAGACCCGGAGCCCGACAATCTTGTGGCGTCACTACAGAATAATTTCCACAAAGTAGACTACCGCAACAAGGAGCTTGTTAATCATCGGGGCATGCCCTACATTGTGGACAAGAAGGACCTTGTCTCGATCGCGGACGACACATGGCTTTCAGGCGCGATCATCGACTTTCACAACGCGTACATATCCATGTATCCAAAATATGTCTTGTGAATCGCGTAATTAGAGGAAGAGGTGCCGCTTCTCAGGCGTAGCCAAACTTTCCGTGACCATGTCTGAGTGGCCTTTGTTTTGCAAGTTGCTAAGCATCCGTGTTCCAAAACTCAGCAACGGCAAAACATGGGCGGCGGTGGAATGTAAGACGTTCACACAAACAACGGCTTGGAATTCGCCAGTTGCTGCCGGACACGGGCTCCCGCTCCTAGAGCACGACTATCTTGCGGTCCCCGTATTCTTGGAGTGAGTCCGATTCCTTGTGTTTTGTTTACCTCCACCAAGTGGACAGTTGCATGCAGGTTGAGGTTACTAAATCCTCCCGTTGTATGTTTTTTTGCTTTGAGCAGAGGTCACTACGCCTTGGTGACCGTTATGTCACCTCGTCGCATGTTGGAGAAGCTGCCCGTTTTGGTCGTCCCGCCATCATACCATCTGTATGGACTGCCGTAAGACCTTGCGGCCGCACAGCCAGCCATCTTAGCCTCCGCAAAATAGGAGCCATATGTGGGAGGGGAGGAGAACGAGGACGATGGAGAGGGAGATGATGACCGCGCTTTGAAGCCGACGAAGTACACTGGGGTATATGTGGAGACGGACACCGGCAAGTTTGGGGTGAAGATTTTGATGAAGGACGAGGATGGGAAGAAGATACAAAAAGGGGTGGGTGCTTACACGACGATAGAGGAGGTTGCATATGCGTACGCTGCGGCCGCCCATGTGCTGAGGCCCGGAGACAGCATGCAGAACACAATGGTGTTATCATCAGCTGATAAAGCTTCTTTGAAGTGGTGCACCAAAGAATAATGAAAATGCTGGTGGATGCTCGCATGTGGTGGCGCTGGAGGGTGTGGAGTCCGCACACTCCTGCAGCAGAGCGACGTTGACACGAAATATTGGCCCTACGCCATGCATCACGCCGTCCGTCTTCACAATCTGCTCAGCACCACCGCCAACACTGACAACCTTTCCCCTCACCTCAAATTCAATGGCAACCAAGGCGACATCTCCATGCTCCGCGTCTGGGGCTGCATGGTGCAATACCAGCCAGCAACAGCAACAACAGGGAAGTTTGAGCACCGCGCACAATGGGGTGTGCATCTCGGCATTAGCCTCGAGCACCACGCTTGGAACATCCTTGACCATGACACCTCTCACGTGGTCGCTGCGCGTGATGTCATCTTCTACGAAGATCTCACCTATGTTGCAAAAGACGCGTCCTGCGTCTAGGACGCTTGCGTCCAGACGCAGCGTCTTGGACGCAGGACGCTTCTATGGGGCATGTGAGACGCTGAAAAAGACGCATGCCCGGGCAGGGGAAAAAAAGGTCAGGGCAGCAAAAAAAACACGTTATAGGGCATGGGAAGGGGGGGACGACGACGTATCACACATGTGAGGCAAATAGGTAGCTATGGAGCGAAATGTAGCTAAGCCCTCTAGGGTTTACGAAGGAGAATTGTGTTCATATAAAGAGATGGAGCACAAATGAAGAGTTTGAGCTCCTAAATGGGCTTGGTGGTGGTCCACCATGGTTTGGTTTTCTAGATGTAGTTGGGTTGTGAGGGGTTGGGTTTATAATTTTGGTGATGGGGGGTTACATATGTTGTGCGTGGGCTGTTTTTGATGGTCAGAATGGGTTGGGGGGTCTGAAATGTCGCGAATTTGACAGTCCCTTTGAGATCGAGAATGTCAACTTTGCGCGGGCGAAAAAACAAAAATCAGGTCAGCCCGAAATAAAATCCGCCGTGCGTCCGGACGATGCGTCCAGACGCAGGACGCAAGACGCGCCCTACGTCTTTTGCAACATAGGATCTCACCATCCGCAAGTTCCAGTGCGACCGCCATGCCGACCGCACCAGGGGAGAAAACAACCTCGCAAGCTACGAACGCCCTCTCCGCAGCTACGCAACTCTCGCCGACGAAGCAGAAGCGGCGCTCGCGGACAAAGATCCTACGGATCCTCACCCAAGCCCTCGACCATGGAGCGACGAGGATGACGACAAACACAGTGCGCCACTCGACTCCTCACGCAATTCCCTGCTCAGCCCCACCCTCTCCAGCGGCAACAATTTCGATGACGATGTGGTGGAAGTCACCAGCGAGCAACAGCACAGCCCTGACCTTTCGGCATTGCACATCCTCGACCTCCATACTGCTGTCTCCCACCCACCAATGGCGGTTGAACCCAAAACCCCTCGCCAGGTTCTTACTGGCCCCTGCAGCAAGGAATGGCGCGCAGCTGTGAACGTTGAGGTCGCTACGCTCAAAGCTCGCGAGACCTGGGTCCTCGCTGACCGCGCCGCGCTGATGGGGAGACGTGTCCTCTCGGGCAAATGGGTCTTCCGCGTCAAAACCGCCGCCGACGAGACCATCGAACGCTTCAAAGCCCGCTGGGTTGTCCGCGGTTTCGATCAACGCCATGGCATTGATTTCGATCAAACCTTCGCTCCCGTCAGCCGCCACACCTCTGTTCGCATTCTTCTCGCCATTACCGCCGCAAAGCATCTCCCGCTCCGCCAAATCGATGTAAAAAACGCCTTCCTCTATGCGCCAGTTGCTGCACTCATCTTCGTCAAAGAACCGCTCACCTATGGCGACGGCGATGACCGCGTATGTCACCTAAAGAAATCGCTCTACGGCATCAAGCAGGCACCTCGCCTTTGGCAGCAGCACCTCCACCAAATTCTCCTGGACATCGGCTCCACCCAGCTCCCTCACGATCCAGGCATGTGTCGCCTTCACTATCGCGGTGACTACATTCTCCTCACAGTGTACGTGGATGACCTCCTCTATACAGGCACCAGCGACGCTCTCCTCGCCCAATTTGAGAGAAACCTAAGCAACCGCATCGAAATCACCAGCACCAACCAAGTCACTCAGTTCCTTGGTCTCAACGTCTCCTACGCCGCCGATGCCATCCACCTCTCTGCTGCTAAGTACGCTGAGACGCTCTCTGCAAAATTCAACATCAAGCCGGCGAACCTCTCAACCCCTTACCGCACCCTGACCAACCCCAACAATCCCAACACCACCCCTCCCAACCCAACCGGACATCACCTGTACCAGCAACAACCCGGCAGTCTCCTATTCCCTGCAGTCACGTGCAGGCCTGACTTGTTCTACATATCGATCTGTACTCCAAGCGGCCTGCAGGGGAGCATATTTTGGATTTGCAGCGTTCTCTGCAGTACTTCATCTCCACACCGCACATTGGACTCGCCTACTCCACTCTCACAACCCGCTCATTCAGCCTCATCGGCTACGTGGACGCAAAACACGCCGCCGACCCTGCAAATCGACGGTCCCGAACCGGCTTCCTCTTCCGCCTCGAGCCCACCAGACCAACCTTTTGAAATTCTCAGGAACAAGAAATGGTGGCGCTCTCCTCTGCTGAAGCTGAGTTCATCGCCGCCACATCAGCCGTTCGCGAAGGGCTCTACCTCCAGGAGCTACTTCAGGCGGCGAAAATTGCGACATCTGCGAGCTTCAAGCTTCACTGCGACAACCAAAGCGCGATAAAAATCGCAAACAGACCCGGCTTTGTCAACCGCACCAAGCACATCCCACTTCGCTGCTTCTTCGTCAAAGACGAAGTTGACAAAGGCAAAGTCATTTTGACTTACTGCCCCACCAGTGACATGGCAGCTGACTTTCTCACAAAGAAGTTGCCACGTCAGCAATACCACCACTGCGGAAACATCTGCGGTATAACCAAGCGCGTCAAGACTTCGCTTCTCCAGGAATGAAGGGGAGTGTTACCATATGGAATTGTTAAATAACATTCCTAGTGTAACACACTCTTGACGCGAAGATGACTGCAGCGAGGACGAAGACCGAGCGACACAAGAGGTTATCGAAGACGGTTGCAAGCTGAAGAAATCGAAGTGCAAAGCGCGGGAAAACTTTCAAACAGTTACCATGGCGCGAGCAGTTGCCGAAGCGCACTGTTGGTTTCCCGTTCTAGATTAGCCGTAACGGGAATGTACCCCCTCAGAGTACATGGCTAGCTAGGACCTTTTGTATTCCCGTATATTCCTATATAAACCATTGTACCGCATTGTTTTAATCACTACTGTCGAGAAACATACCGTATCTGGCGTAATTCCATCAGCTTGTAATACGGTACATGGTAATGAACGTTGAACAGCATGTGTGTTATTAAAAAAAAAAGTTTAGGACAAAATGTTTAATTAATACAATATACAAGCACTGGTTTGGACCTAGCCCAGAGTACAAAACTTTGGCAGGACAATAAGAATGATATGGAATAGAAAACATAGATTGCACTATCTTGTGGTCCAACCAACATAGATCTACGGAAAAAAGGCCCATAAGAACACTGTTGCCTAATATGATGGGAATGGGAACCCTATTGGACCTTCATGTCATCAGTATCTGCTGATGCAGACAGACTACCAAGGTGTCACCCGTACAGAAAACATCACTGCAACAAATAGGTCGAGGTGCTAGCGTTTTTGGAAGTTGATGACTTTGATTGCAACGGCAAAGACGACGAAGAAGAGCGCGGAGAAGGCAACGAGGATGAGGCTCGCATAACCAACCCACTCCGGCTGGTAACCCAGATACAGGTCCAGAAACTGCTGCACGGTGACCTTCACTGGGTAGCCTGGTACTTTGAGCAAGTCCTGAACGTTCCCCAGCTGGAGAATGGGAGGCAGGGAGATGAGCCAAGGGGAGCCAAAGGGGGAGGGGTTTTGGAGTTGAATCCTGCTGGTAAACTAGACACAAGTCGAGAAACTGCTGCACCGTGACCTTCACTGCATAGCCTGGTACTGCGAGCAAGTCCTGCACGTTCCCCAGCTGGAGAATGAGAGGCAGGGAGATAAAGCATGCGACAAGATAAGGAAACTTTGAGGCGCCTCAAGAATGGGGCGCAAGGAGGTGAACTTGGGGGGCAAAATAACACGGACCTAAAAGGAGATGGCACGGACCTGAGAGGAGACGACACGTACCCGAGAGGAGATGACACGGACCTGAGAGGAGATGACACGGACCTAAGAGGAGATAGCAAGGACCTGAGAGGAGATGACAAGTACCCGAGAGGAGATGACACGGACATGAGAGGAAATGACACGGACCGGAGAGGAGATGACACGTACCTGAGAGGAGATGACACGGACCTGAGAGGAGATGACACGGACCTGAGAGGAGATGACACGGACCTGAGAGGAGATGACACGGACCTGAGAGGAGATGACACGGACCAGGGGATGACGCGGACCTGAAAGGAGATGACTCGGACCTGAGATGAGATGACACGGACCACGAGATGACACGGACCAGGAGATGACACGGACCTAAGAGGAGATGACATGGACCAGGAGATGACACGGACCTGAGAGGAGATGACATGGACCAGTAGATGACACGGACCTAAGAGGAGATGACATGGACCAGGAGATGACACGGACCTGAGAGGTGATGAGGCCGTAGAGAGACCATGCGATGGGATTGATGTAGTAGAACCAGCTCCACCACACGGGAATTTCCTGGAAGCAACATAAGATGCATCACAAAGAAACCACTGAGAACCACACTAAACACTGGAAGCAGTACATGCACAACCTTTTCTGCTGTTCTGACCTTCAAGTTATGAGCAAGAAAGCCGCACACGGCGAGATTCCAAAGCATAACGAACGAAGAGACCTCTAACTTGAATCTATAGAAAGCCAGAGCATTACCGGAAATGGATGGGCAACTCACCGGCTTGGGGATGAGGAAGCCGCACATGAGGTTCCAGAGCATCACAAAGAACCCGCTGAGCACCACAGCGAGCAGCTCATTAGGCGTGATCGCCACCGCCATCATGCCAAAGCTCGCAAAGCACAGCAGCGTCAGGCAAATGAACGCGCAGTACAGCCAGAACTTGGCGGCCGTCCACTCCAGCTGGAGCAGCGCGTAGGTGATCACGCAGAACAGCAGCGTCTCCACCACCACATACGGCGTCTCGATCGCGCCCTGCGCTAGCGCGTACGGCAGCGACCCATACAGCCCGGCGGCTCTCTCCCGGTAAAACACCGTGCGCTCGGTGCACAGCATGGGCTGGAGCGAAGTCCCTGCGTTCCACCCCATGAGCAGCGACGTCACATAGAGCGCTCCCATGACGTTGAGCACGTCCTGCTGCGTCGCGTGGTAGTGACCGAACCCGAACATGACTGCGCCCATGAGGAGGGAGATGCAGACCGCGAGGAAGAATCGGACTGCGTTGAAGTCGGGCGCGCGCCAGTACATGAGGGAGCGCTTCCAAAGGTTGGCGAGGAATTGAGTGAGGAAGGAGGTGGAGTAGCGTGTGGGGAAGTGCAGCGGGGCTGAGTTGGGAGGGGGTGTGGAGAGAGACGCGATCAGCGCCTCGTTGTCTCTGCAGAGGAGGGGGTAGAGGGGGGAAAGGGGGCGGGGAGAGAGAAAGAGGAGGGGAAGTTCAGAGTCTGGGTGAGGCAGGGAGGGGAGGGGGGGAGATTAGGCAGTCAGCGTTGAAGTCAGGGGCGTGCCAGTACATAAGGGGTTGCTTCGAGAGGTTGGCGAGGAATTGAGCGAGGAAGGAGGTGGAGTAGCGCGTGGGGAAGTGGAGAGGCACGGAGCCGGGAAGGGCATGGAGAGAGACGTGATCAGTGCCTCGTTGTCCCTGCAGGGATGTGGGAGGGGGTAGTGGGAGAGGAAAGGCTTAGGCGGAACCTGGGCACTGGGAGGGAGGGGGTGTGGAGAGTTGCGTGCGGAAGGACGTGGCGTAGTGTAGCTCTTGGGGAAGTGAAGTGCAGCAGAAAGGAGCCTGGGCGGCATGGAGAGAGATGCGTTCAGTGCCTTGTTGCCCCTGCAGGGGGCAGCAGTGGGGGGTGGGGTGGAAAGAGGAAGGGATATAAGAATTTGGGCGTGGCGAGGGCATTGGGAGCGAGTGTGGAGAGGGCAGGAAGCAGGAGAAGGGAGGAGGGGAGGGATATAAGAAGTTGGGCGAGGCGAGGGGATTGGAAAGGGTGTGGAGAGATGATATCAACGAGAGAGAGGGGGGAGAGGAGGGGGAGAGAGAGGGGGTGGAGAGAAGGGGGGGAGAGAGGGGGGGATGATAGTGATGACCCAGACCTCTACAGCTGTAAATTCCTAGTCTGTCACCTAATCTGCTGTGACTTTAAACAATACTCACCTGACCAGTTGCAACCCCTGAAAATTCACCTGAAGAGCTGCGAATTCCTGAAAATCTCTGCAAAGTCGGCCCCAATGCTCTCAGCAGCAGCCGGCGCCGTGACCTCCAGCATCCACGTGGCAGGGTTGTAACCGTCTGGGATTGGCTGCACGCCGGGTATGGCCTGACATGGTGGTGAGTTGTGGGGGATGGTGGTGGGGGGGGAGTGGGACGGATGGGTGTCCTAGAAGCACGGGAACATGCGTGAAGTGACCTTGAGCATCCACGTGGTGGGGTTGTAGCCGTCTGGGATAGGCTGCACTCCTGGTATGGCCTGGCGTGGTGGTGAGTCGTGGGGAGGAAAGGGAGGGGAGAGGAAAGGGAGGGGAGGGGAAAGGGGGAAGGGGTGTCTTATCATATGACCTCGAGCATCCACGTGGCAGGGTTGTAGCCGTCAGGGATTGGGTGCACTCCTGGTATGGCCTGTCGTGGTGGGGGAGCCATGAAGGAGAAAGCGGGCTGGTTTATCTTGAAGCGCCTAAAAAACGGTTTTAGCCATGAGGGATAGGTTGCATCCCGGGTATGGCCTGGCACAGTGGGTTGGGGAAGGAGGAAGAGGGATAGAACGGTTATGGCTGTTGCTGCAGTGACTTCCAGCATCCTCGTGGCGGGGTTACAACCATTGGGGATAAGATGGGTAGAATGGTTATGAGTGGTGGATTGACCTTGGGCATACACGTGGTGGGGTGAGGCTTGTGTGTAACATCCGACCCAAAATAGAAACAACGCATGTGAGGATCATGGGAATGGAAAAGGAAAGGAATTAACGAGAGAGCAAATAACGGGAGAGGTAACAACAGGAGAGCAAACTACGGGAGAGGAAGGGATGGAGAAGGGGGGAAATGGCGATACCTGAAAGTACTTGATGAGATGCTTCGAGTTGACCCCCAGAGGCCCCATGTATATAACCTCTCCTCCTGTCTTCATTAAGAGCAGCTGCAGTACAGGAACAGAGAGGCATATCAGTGTGTGAACTGAGATGCAAAGAAAACCACATGCCACCAGCCTCCATCCTAGATCCAGGCCAGATGGACACAGCAGTAACTGTGTTGCTGAGAATTCTAGAAAATGCCTCCTAGGGTGGTGCGCATTGCTATGGTGCGCATTGCTATGGTGCGCATTGTTATGGTGTGTTGTGAGAGGACATCTATTGGTGGACAGCTGGTGATAGTGCAAACCACAGTCTCATTCAATTCAAGTGCCCGTCATCATTATACTCGTTTTAGCGCACCTCATCAAAGGCTTCAAAGATATCGGTGGACGGCTGGTGGATGGTGCACACCACAGTGCGCCCCGTGTCCACTGTGTTGCGCACCGTGCGCATCACTATGGCCGCTGCCCTCGCATCCAGCCCTGAAGCCGGGGAAACGCAAAGAGGAATGGGAGCTCTGGAGGCTGTGTTGCCCACGTGTGCATGACTATGACTGCTGCCCTCGCGTCAAGTCCTGAAGACGGAAAGGGTGTACAAGGGGAAAGTGGGGAGGAGTAGAAGCTTTCGAGGCTGACACGCCCCAGAAACGTGCCTGGACACAATCGCTGCTGCCCTCGCATCCACGAGGGGTTGGCCACGAGCTCAGCCAAGATGGTAAGGCGCTTCCTCTGCTCTGTGGACAGCCCACTCACCCCTGGCAGCCCCACCAGTAGCACTGCGCTCTGAGGCGCCTAAGAACACACAGTGGCAGCAGTGCCACTGCTGCTGCTGCTGCCCCGGCCAGCACACTGAACCGAGGGGATGGTGAGAGGTGGAACCGGGCGAGAAGTGGGAAAGGCATGCAGGTGGGAAAGGCCTTACCTGAGGTCGGTGCATGCAGGCCTTACCTGAGGTGAGTTCATCCAGGCGGTACCTGAGGTGGGTTCATCCATGAAGATGATGGAGGGGTTGGCCACGAGCTCGACCCCGATGGGCGGGTGTTACCTGAGATAGATAGGTACAACTGGGGGAGGTAACACCTACCAGAGGTGGGTTCATCCATGAAGATGATGGAGGGGTTGGCCACGAGCTCGACCCCGGTGGGCGGGTGTTACCTGAGATGGATAGGTACAACTGGGGGAGGTAACACCTACCAGAGGTGGGTTCATCCATGAAGATGATGGAGGGGTTGGCCACGAGCTCGACCCCGGTGGGCGGGTGTTACCTGAGATGGATAGGTACAACTGGGGGAGGTAACACCTACCAGAGGTGGGTTCATCCATGAAGATGATGGAGGGGTTGGCCACGAGCTCGACCCCGGTGGGCGGGTGTTACCTGAGATGGATAGCTACAACTGGGGGAGGTAACACCTACCAGAGGTGGGTTCATCCATGAAGATGATGGAGGGGTTGGCCACGAGCTCGACCCCGATGGTGAGGCGCTTCCTCTGCTCCGTGCTCAGCCCACTCACCCCCGGCAGCCCCACCAGCGCGCCCCTCAGCACGTCCAGCTCCACCAGCTCCATCACCTCCTCCACGAATTCCTGGTTCAGTGTGGTGTGGTGTGGTGTGGTGTGGTGTGGTGTGGTGTGGTGTGGTGTGATGTGGTGTGGGAGGTAAGCGGCGAGACAGGGAGCGAGTGGGAGGTGAGGGAGAGGACACACGAGTCATCTCAGTTTGAAATTGTTAGCTTTGAGGTGGGTGAAGGGGGTGAGTGGAACAATAAACGATTGTCCAAACGATCCTAGCACCCCTCCCCACGCACCTCCCCCCCTTCCCCCCCACCTCCCCCCCTCCCCACTCACCTCCCTCCCCTCCCCACCCCACGCACCTCCCTCCCTCCCCTTCCCACGCACCTCCCTCCCTCCCCTTCCCACGCACCTCCCTCCCTCCCATTCCCACGCACCTCTCTCACAACCTTCCCCACGTACCTCGCGCACGTCCCGGTCAATGTCTCTGGGAAGGCGCAGCCAGGCGGAGAAGAGCAGGCTCTCATGCACCGTGACCTGCGGCGAGTGGATGTCGCTCTGCTCGCAGTACCCCGACACGCGGGCAAACGTGGAGTGCACCTTGGGATGCCCCGCCACCATCACCTCTCCCTCAATATACCCCCCGGTCTTCCTCCCTGCTAGCACATCCATCAGGGTTGTTTTCCCCGCGCCCGTCACCCCCACCAGCGCGGTGAGCACTTTCGGCCGGAATGCCCCCGAGACGTTTCTCAGAAGCTGCAGGCGGGTGGCGGAGTTGCCAGGGGAGTGGGCGGCTTCGGAGCGCATGGCGGGCGGCATGTCGACCCAGTAGCACACGTTGTGGAAGGCGAGGGGGAGTGGGAGGAAGGGGAGAACCATGCCGCGAGTGGTGGCGGGCGGTACAGAGAGGTCCCGGGACAGGGTAGGCTCGATTGTGTCTCCCATGGAGTGAGTGGAGGAGACTGCAGGTGAGGTGGGGAAGATGGAGAGAGAGAGAGAGAGGAAACATGGAGGGGGGGAGGGAGATGCCTTTGAGTCGACTCAAAACGGAAGGCTCGATTGTGTCTCCCATGGAGTGAGTGGAGACTGCAGCAAAGCAGGCGAGGTGGGAAAGATGGAGAGAGGATAGAAATGGAGGGGTGGAGAGGGGGAGAAAAGTTTATCTGTTGTACTGTCTTCACCTCTCTCAACCGCCCACTAGGCATGAGCAAATGCCAAAACGAGTAATACTCGACTCGTTTTCAGCCGACTCGTTTTGAAAACGACTCGAGTCGAGTATTACTCGTACGAGTAATTTTGCCCCTAGGGCCGACTCGTTACTCGTTGAAAAAAACGAGTAATTTATTACTCGGTCCGAGTAATGAATTACTCGTTTTGGATCAAGTAATACTCGACTCGTTTTTGTCAGTATTTGTTTTTCTTGTTTTTTGTAGGTAATTGTACCCAGGCCGTGTGCTTACAGGGTGTGTACTAAGGTATGCGCGCACATTGGCATGCGCGGGTTAGAGAGTAGTCTAGATTAGGAGACATTTTAACGGATGTTTTTGCCTTGCAGATCGAGTAGGAACTAGATCGATTGAGGGAGAAACTGAACCGTGAGAACCGTACGCAAATCGAGGGGAAAAGAGATCTGCAAACACGCGAATTGTGATGGCAGTTGGAGCGGGAAGTGAATCTGCAATCAAAATTTGTGATGGCAGATGGAGCGGGGAAAGGGTCTCCAATCAAAATCTGTGTTGGCAGATTGAGTGGGAAACAGATCTGCGAACACTATTTTCACAACCCCCCACCCCCGCCCAACCCAACCCCCCCCAACTCCCCCAGGCCCCCTTTTCCAGGTTAAAAAACGAGTAATATGCGAGTAACGAGTACTTGTTTGTTGGCGAGTACTCGTTTACTTCCGAGTACTCGTTTTACCCTAAATTACTCGTTACTCGATTTCGAAAACGAGTAACTAGCGAGTACTCGTTTAAAAACGAGTAATACTCGACTCGACCAAACCGAGTAATTTCTTGAAAACTGCAGACTCGTTACTCGCCCAAAACGAGTTACGAAAACGAGTCGAGTAAAATACTCGACTCGTTGCTCATGTCTACCGCCCACGTCCTCCTTCTCAACAGCTGGCTCTCTAGTTCCTTCTCTCACAGTGTCCCAGCTCAGCGTGCGTTCACTTTTCTCTTGTGTTTAACCTCACATTCCCCAAACTCTCTTACGTATACCTCAACTAGAGTTCAACCTCCCTCATCTCGCTCACCTCGCTCGCAGTACCGCTCAAGGGCTCCGCTGCGCGACCCAAGAGAGCGGGCGCTCTGCCCAGACTGGCTGCGCGTGATGCTGATGCTCACAGGCATCGCATCGCCATCCGTGCCCCCCCTCCTGCCATGACTCTCTGAGTTGCGCCGGCTGCCGGTGCTGTAACGCTTCGAGAGGCGCCTGCTGGTGGCGGTGGCGGCTGTGAGGCCTACTGCTGCCTCTATTCTCGCCTCCAGCTGTTCTTCTGTCACTGGCTGGTCCTTGGCCCATGCTGATGTTGGATGATGACGTGGGATGGTATGGGGGTGGGGTTGATGATGGGACGGGTAGGTGTTATGTGGGAGTTGGGTGGGGTGAAGAACACAGGTAACATGGGTTGTTGGGAAGGGACACAGGGAATTTACAGGGAATAGACGGGAGATGATGATGATGATGACGACGAAGACGACGACGATGATGATGATGATGACATCATTATTATTATTTTTTATTATTATTATTATTATTATTATCATTATTATTATTATTATTAATGATTCCTTTTTCAGGTTAAAAAATCAGTTGGTGACAGGGTGGAGCAGGTTTCGAAGGAAAAGAGGACCTTACAAGGAAGGATGTGATGGTGGAGGGTGGAGAGGGGACAACGAGAGAGCAGCAATCGGACATGGCATTCATGCAGCAGCAATCGGGCATGGCATTCATGCAGCAGCAATCGGGCATGGCATTCATGCAGCAGCAATCGGGCATGCCATTCATGCAGCAGCAATCGGGCATGCCATTCATGCAGCAGCAATCGGGCATGGCATTCATGCAGCAGCAATCGGGCATGGCATTCATGCAGCAGCAATCGGGCATGGCATTCATGCAGCAGCAATCGGGCATGGCATTCATGCAGCAGCAATCGGACATGGCATTCATGCAGCAGCAATCGGGCATGGCATTCATGCAGCAGCAATCGGGCATGGCATTCATGCAGCAGCAATCGGGCATGGCATTCATGCAGCAGCAATCGGACATGGCATTCATGCAGCAGCAATCGGGCATGGCATTCATGCAGCAGCAATCGGGCATGGCATTCATGCAGCAGCAATCGGACATGGCATTCATGCAGCAGCAATCGGGCATGGCATTCATGCAGCAGCAATCGGGCATGGCATTCATGCAGCAGCAATCGGGCATGGCATTCATGCAGCAGCAATCGGGCATGGCATTCATGCAGCAGCAATCGGGCATGGCATTCATGCAGCAGCAATCGGGCATGGCATTCATGCAGCAGCAATCGGGCATGGCATTCATGCAGCAGCAATCGGGCATGGCATTCATGCAGCAGCAATCGGGCATGGCATTCATGCAGCAGCACAAAGGCCGATAAGGCTGTTAATTTCCTTTGGTACTGACAGTGGAGGATGGAGAGAGGGCAACGTGGCATGCATGCATGCAGCAGTACTGACGGTGTAGGATGGAGAGGGCGACGACAACAAGGAAGTTGAAGAGGAGAGTGAAGCCGATGAGAGCCACCACACCGATCCACACCCACTTGCTCTCCGTTGGGAGGCCCCTCCCCTCCAGCACCACCAGACCTACTGTGGAGTTGGGGATTAGTGGTGCTGTGGACTGTGGTGAAGGGGAGAGGGAGGCGAAAGCAGGGAGGGGAATAGGGGAGGGGGGAGGAGGAGAGTGAAGCTGATGAAGCGACCACGCCAATTCACACCCACTTGCTCTCCATTGGGAGGCCCCTCCCCTCCAGAACCACCAGGCCCACTGTAGAGTTGGGGATTAGTGGTGCTGTAGATTGGAGAGGAAGGGGGAGCGGGAGGGGAGATGGGGATGGAGGAACGGGAATTGAACAACCAATGAGAGCGAGCACGTCGATCCACACCCACTTGCTGTCCGTTGGGAGGCCCCGCCCATCCCGCACCAGCACCACCACACCCACAATGGAGTTGGGGATTAGTGGTGCTGTGGACTGTGGTGAAGGGGGGAGGGGGAGAGGAGGGAGGGGTGGTTGGGAAAGAGGCACAACATTACCTTCACTTTTGCACGACAGAACCCCACCCCACACAAACTTTACCATCTGGGCACGCCACTCACCTTTCCCCACCTGGAACGTTGCTCACTGTTCGCCATCTGGCACGCCGCTTGCCTGTCGCCACCTGGCACGCCACTCACCTTTTGCCACCTGGCACTCCGCTCACCTTCAGCCTGCGACCTGGCACGCCACTCACAGGTCGCCACATGGCACGCCGCGCACCTTTTGCCAGCAGGGGGCGAGGAGCTCGTTGACGGAGAGGGCATTCTGCGTGTAGGTGATGGGGGCTGACACCTGGCACGCCACTCACCTTTCGCCATGTGGCACGGCATGAATCACGCACCTTTTGCCACCTGGGGGCGAGGAGCTCGTTGACTGAGAGGGCGTTCTGCGTGTAGGTGATGGGCGACATCCAGTAGGCCCAGATGAACCACGGCTGGATGTCGTCTGGAAGGGGAGGGGGGACGGGGGGTGGGGAGGGGGGTTAAGGGGGGGTTGGGAAGGGGAGGGTAAGCAGGCATAAGAGGAGTGTTGGGGAGAAAGCGGGGGAGGTTCAAATGAAGCGTGCGTGTAGGTGATGGTGGGCGACATCCAGTAGGCCCAGATGAACCACGGCTGGATGTTGTCTGTTGGGGGGCGGGCGGGGATAGGGGAGGTGGGGAAGCTTCTGAGAGTTAGTGGCAATGTAATGATCGGGTGGGCCCGTGCGGGTGATGGACTAAAGAAAGGGACGGAAGATGAGTTGAGTCGCCTGTAGCTGCAAGAAGGGCACACCTTGGGCGGGCAGCAGGGCGCTTGGCACACCTTGGGCAACGATGAAGCCCCCGAGCAGGAAGAGGGTGATGAAGGCGAATTTACGCTAAGGTCATGAAAGGGATGCAAACAAGGGCACTCGTGACGGCAGGGCAGGCAGCAGCAAGACACGTGGCACACCTTTAGCGACGATAAAGCCCCCGCCCCTGAGCAGGAACACTGAGGGTGATGAAAGCGAATTCGCCGAGGGTGACGACGTGAACAAGGGGGGACACTGAAGTCATGAACGGGGTAGAAAAGAGGGGCGGTTGTGATGGACACGTGGCACACCTTTAGAGACGATAAAGCCCCCGAGCAGGAAGAGGAGGATGAAGGCAAAGTTGCCAAGGGTGATGGAGACCACGAGGTTGCGGCCGAGCGCCCCCAGCAGGCGGAAGAGAGCCACTCCGGTCTGATGGATGAGGAAGAATATGAGGAGCTGGATGAAGAACCTGAGGGGGTGTGGGGGGAGGAAGGGGGGGGATAGGGGGGGAGTGGGAAGAGAGGGGGCAGAACGGACGGCGGGGAAGGGGGGTACGGAAGGAGGAAAGAATACGAGCAGCTGGATGAAGAATCTGGGGGGAATGTAAGGGAGAAAGGGAGTGGAAGAGATGGGAGGGATGAAATTGAGAAGGAAATAGACGATGACGAGACGGATTAAGGGATTTTCCCTAAAATTTCTTGTCACTTTTCAACCCCATCCATCCATCCATCCATCCATCCATCCATCCATCCATCCATCCATCCATCCATCCATCCATCCATCCATCCATCCATCCATCCATCCATCCATCCATCCATCCATCCATCCATCCATCCATCCATCCATCCATCCATCCATCCATCCATCCATCCATCCATCCATCCATCCATCCATCCATCCATCCATCCATCCATCCATCCATCCATCCATCCATCCATCCATCCGCCCATCCGCCCACCCGTCCACCCACCCATCCATGCACCCATCCACCCATCCATGCACCCATCCACCCATGCGCAGCCCACCTTCCAGCATCGGGAGCAAAGCCAACAAGAAAGTACGTGCCAGCCGTCCACAGCGCCGCCACCACGGCCGACAGCGGCAGCGACAGCACGGCCATGGGCAGCACCCACGCCCACGCGGGGTACAGGCGCGTGTTCCTCTGCTTGAAGAATATCGGGAGGCGCAGCGTGAAGAGGAGGAGCTCGAAGAAGGCGTTGAAGAGCATCATGGTGATGCCGAGGAAGAGCACTCCCAGGTACACGTTGCCGTCCTTGGCTGTGATGGCCCGCTGCGTGTACAGGAAGACTGTTGATGACATGAGGCTCGTGAATATCACCTGGTGGGGAGCGGTGGAGAGCGGTGGAGAGGGATGGGGAGGGAGGGAGAGGGGTGGAGAGGGGTGGAGAGGGGTGGAAGAGTACGTCCAGGTAAATGCACATGACACCATATGTGTATGTCAGTGCACATGCATGTTACATGAGGTGTCATCCTTCCACACTGCATCCATACATTGTGCCACACACACAATGCCACACGCACACGCACACAACAGTAAACACACACCCACCACACCACACCACACCACACCACACCACACCACACCACCACACACACACCACCCACACCACACCACATCACACCCCACCACACCACACCCCACGCACCTGCATGATGAGAGCCATGTAGAGCAGTGCGTTGCGTCTCATCAGCAGCCATTCCCGGGCGAAGACAGCTGTCAACATTTGAGTGGGCGAGAGGGCGTAGGGGGCTGTTTCCAGTGCTGACGTGGACGAGTCTGTTGGCTGGAAGGGGGTCTGGGGAGAATGACAAAGGGAGGACAATGGAAGAACAGTGGGAAAGGGAAGTGAGAAGGAAGGGTAAGTGAGAAAAATGGACGCAGCGAAGTTGGAAAGAGAAAAGGGCAGGGGGCGTCATTGAGTGGTGCTGTTTGAATGGTCAACACCAGCTCTGCCTGTCTCTGCTGCCCTCACTGTTAGAGATACATTAGGGCAGTATCTGACGCTTCAAACACTCACCGCCAGCTCGGCCTGTCTCTGCTTGCCGAGGGCGGAGTGGCGGAAGGCAGCAGCCATGTCCCCTGCTGCCATGAACTCGTGTGGCTGTGACTTATCCACCCAGTACTGTGCCTGGTCCTTGGCTGACGTCACCTGAGAAAATGGGAGTGAGAGGGGAGAAGAGGGAGGGAGAGGGATGGGAACGGGGAGAAGGGGGAGTGAGAGGAGACGGAGATACGCGTTGCTGTGTTATGTTCTGAGGCGCTCAAAGGCTTCCTGGTCGTGTCGTGTTGTGCTGTGCTGTGTCAAACCCAAGTGACCATAAGAGCCACACACATGACACCCTCCCTGGGCACGTGATACAACATGTGCCCCTCCGCGAACAGCAGCAAATCAAGCCACTTCAACCCCCCAGAACGCCTCTCTCACCTCTAGCATGAAATGAGCCACTCCTTTTTGCTTGGAGGACAATTAAACCCCAGCGACCAAAACAGCCCCATGATGCCCTCCCAGGGCCCAAGATACACCACGTGCCCCTCCAACAGCAGCAGCGCACCAGGCAAATCCAAAACAACCCCCCTCCACCCCAGTTCCCTCTCTCACCTCTAACAGAAAATCTGCGATTCCTTTCCGTGGCGGGCAGTCGAACCCCAGCGACCGGAACAGCCCCATGACGCCCTCCCTTGGCCCGTGATACACCACGTGCCCCTCCGCCAGCAGCAGCACGTCGTCAAAGAGCGCAAAGGTCTCGGGGGCGGGCTGTAGCAGCGCGATGAGCGTGGTGGTGCGCAGCGCGTGGGTGAGATGGCGCAGGCAGCGCGTGATGAGGAAGGTGGTGGAGGAATCGAGGCCCGTGCTGATCTCGTCCATTAGGAGCACCTGCCGCATGCCCACTAGTTCCTCGCCTGGAGGGACAGAAGAACCGGAGTAAGGGGCGGAAAGCGGGAAAGGCACATAACTGAAGTGAAGAGAGCAAAGGACTCGGGGGCGGGGTGCAGCAGTGCGATGAGCGTGGTGGTGCGCAGCGCATGGGTGCAGGCAGCGCATGGGTGCAGGCAGCGCATGGGTGCAGGCAGCGCGTGGGTGCAGGCAGCGCGTGGGTGCAGGCAGCGGGTGATCAGGAATGTGGTG